AAACTGTGACAGTAATTTTTTTGTTGAGAAGTGCTTTTTTATGTATGTACGCAAAGGTGTGAGTGTGCATATGAGTGATTGCGTGTTTTTATGCAAATATATATGTATGTGACTAAATATGTACATGTATTATCACCGCTTGAGGCGATTGTATTTTTTTTGGAATCAATTTTTACTTAGAGTATTCTCTTATTGAATTTATGTTGATGATGGACTTATACTTTTATATTCATGATTTGTATGTACTAAACTTTTTGTTACTCTGAATATGTGTTTTTATTTTTCCTATCAATTTCCATCACTTTTAGTTCACCTCACTTTCAAGACGGGTTCATTCTGACTACTAAACAAGCGAAAAACAGCGAAGAAAAAAGAATTACCAGGCTTTTCGCAAGCTATGACATGGGCTGGAGTCAGAGGTCGACAGGTCATCGATACGACAGCTTGAATGGTTTTTGTACTCTTGTAGGATATGTGACTGATAAGGTTCTTGATTTTTGCACCAAAAATAGAAAATGTAGGACTTGTGATATTAATACTAAGAATGGAGTACAAACAGAGCACGACTGCAGACTGAATCACTATGGCACAGCAAAATCTATGGAGGCTGAAGGCGCAGTTCAGCTCATAGCAAACAGTTCAATTCTAAAAAATGCTGGCGCTGAAATAGGTGTTTATATTGGTGACAACGACAGTTCTGTAGAATCTGCTCTTCATGAAAATTTAGACTATACTATTGTAAAGCAATGTGATATCAACCATTCGAAAAAGGGCGTAAGTAATATGTTATACAAGATGCGAGAAAACAAAAGTATTGACGTTGATCATGAGTTAACTCATGATACTATTGCTTTTTTAAAAAATTCTTTTGCTACCGTGATAAAAAAAAATAAAAATAATAAGGCCGCTATTGAACAGGATTTAAGAAATTTGCCAAACCATGTTTTTGATAATCATGATGATTGTGGAGGTTTTTGTAAATATAGAGAAGACAAAGAAAACTATGATAATAGTAGGCACTTAAAAAATCCGATTCTGTTCAAACATATTAATAAATTGTTTTTCGATTTAGCAAATAGTGCATGTAAATTTGTACTCGCCGCCTCATCTAATACCAATGAAAGTATTAATAATACAATGGCTAGCTACTGCCCTAAGGCAAATTCTTATTCTACATCGGAATCGGCGGATTACAGATTTGCATGCGCTGTTGCCCATAAAAATTTAGGTGCGGATTACGTTCTAAAAGTGTGTGAAAAATTGAATCTTACGTATAGAAAACCAATGATAAATTATTGCGCATATGCCAAAAAAAAAGCAATTAAAAGACTGAATCGAGAATCTCAGCCTCGCATAAAAGCTCTTAGGAAGCATAACAGTTTAAAAAAACAACAACTGAGAAATCAAAAAGAAAAAAAATCAAATGATACTTACTCTTCCGACATGACGCTTTTAGACACTCCTATTAACTCCAGTCAAATTACTCGTCAAATAGTAAATCATTTAAGTTACAATACCGACAATTTTGCGTATATCTTTTTCGATTTGGAGACTGGAGGCTTCTCTCCGCAAAAAGATATTCTTCAGATAGCTATGAAAAGCGAAACAAAATTATTATCCGTTTATCTCACACCAGTTAAGAATATCGATCCAAAGTCAACTGCAGTGACAGGTTTATCTAAAAACGGAAGACAACTATTTTTGCATGGTAAGCCACTTTCAACTTTTCCTCATAAGCAAGCTGCATTGAGAGTTCTGGAGTTTTTACAAAGTTTTGGTAAGAATGTAATTATGATAGCACATAAATGTGATTTTGACTCTAATCGCATTGTAAGATTTTTCCAAAGTTTGTCTCTCTTAAGCTCATTTGAAACGCTTGTTTTGGGATTTGTAGACACTTTACCTCTTTTTAGAAAACATTTTCCGAATAGGAAAAATCATAAGCTTTCAGATCTTGGAAAAGACTTATTGACATTGTCTGTTGAAAACGCTCATAATGCAATAGTTGATATTGATTTATTAGAAAAATTAACCGCTACATATCTTTCATGGGATGATATTTCAACGAACGTGTTTTCCGTAAAAGATGTTCTTGCGAAAATTCAAAGAATTTCTGATGAAAAAATGTATTCGCCAACTTTTTCCCCCATGTCGTCTATCATTCCCAAAACAGTGATTAAAAATCTAAGTCNTCGCATGTCAAACTAACCCTTACCGAAATAGACGACTTAAACCATTATTTACTCAAAATCTGTCCATTAAAAGGACTTGCGCCTGTGGAAACTTTGATTTAGAAAATCATAAGCTACAACATATCAAAATTTCATCAAGTTTCATTGGGACCCCAAATCCTATTGCGTTGGTGCGGGCACTGAGAGATACTTTCCATTTACGTGCACAGTGTACGTTTGGCGTTCAGCCGCGTAATGACGTGTCGACACCCATCTAGCTGAGTGAATACCGAGCGCTCACTCAGCTTTCAGAGGAACAAATTTCGTTCACTCACAAATCTGAGCGAACGCACTCGACGGGCCGTACGAGTGTCTAACCGACACTGAGAATATCATATGTATACATACGTATATATATGTGCATGGATATACATGATGTTAATTATTTTAGTTTGAAGGGTGACACCATTGCTATCGTTACTTGTACAAGAAATTAAATTTAAGTAATAAGTGTAAGACGGAATTTTTTTTTTACAAAACTTTATTTCATCAATAAATCGTTCAATAACTTTTAATATTTTTTAATCCGTCGCACTAGACTTTACAATCGATGCCTAGAGGCAACGTACAAACAATCGTCTTTTTTTACAATTATACAAGGATATCGGTCATGTAATTTTTGATAAGAGATAACTTTTTTCTTTATTTATATTTTTGAAAACGAAGTTGAACGAATAAATTGCCTTATACTAATAGCGCATGGCAATTGTATAAATTTTTACGAAATATCATTAACATTTTAAAATTACCTACAATAAGTAAGACCGATCTTTTTCAGTTAGAGTTTTATATAAGTGAACACCATAAATTGTATTTAAATTTGTACGACCATTTAAAACCGAGATTTTATCTGCTAATTCATTATATTCGTATAATATTACAAAATGGTCCTTCGATCAAAATTTCTGGATTGAGATTTGAATCCAAGCACCAAGAGCTAAAAGCAATTGTACAAGCTTAAAGTTCTTAGATAAATATTTTCAAAACTATTGCTTCTAGGTATCTTTTAAAATTAATGAATTGTTCTTTTATATCATACAAAAAAATGGATATCGAAATTAATAATTAATAATTATCGATGTCGTGTCTAATGATATTATTTCTTCTTTTTTTCCTCTTTTTAAAGACAAATGTTTGTTAAACTCAAGTACATATTTTTCATTTTTTAAAACTAAATATGTATTTTCTTAACCTTCTCTATTAAATAATATTGACGTATTAAAATATAACAAACTTGCAATAACCTTTGATTGGAAACGTTTGATTATTCATCGTTCGTACGTTCGCACTCCATTAGGTTAGGACCAATGCTAAAGGAACGTACGGTTCGCGAGCGATTTATTTTTCCCTACATTATCCAATATCAACTTATTAAACAAACTTTTCTCTATGGGATGACGAAAAATTGTATACGTCACTTGGCCGTAAGTGTCAGTGTGTCTGACGGATGGCCGCGTGATGTCGCCCTCGGCTTCACTTCGGGCGACAACTCCACGCGGCAGTACATCAGGCACTTTACGGCCTTGTGACGTAATATATTAATACTAGCAGCCCCCCGTCACGGCTTCGCCCGAGATTTACTAAATAAAACACCGTAGTGTGTTGACATGTAATGTTAAACGTTTTTAGTTAGAAATTTTACACATATTCCTGATACATCTTAAACAAAAATCTTTTTATTAAAAACATATTTTTTCGGAATCCATATAGCTTATTTGGTCAAATAATGAGGGGTAAAAATTGAAAAAAAAAAATTATGCTGAAAAGTACCGTGCGTTCTTTATGCCATAAAATAATCGGTGGCCATAAGAAGCCGTTGATTCACCGTTTCTTTCGTGTAATTCACGAAAACGGCTATTTTTTAAAGCTGTTAAGATTTTAAACCCCCAAAAAATTTATATTAAAAAAAAATTTTTTTCTCATATCTCACAACTTTATTACCAGAGCAACAAAGTCCTGGACCTTGAACCCTACATTTTTATTGCCACAAAAACACAAATACATTTTCTACTTATTTAAAAATCTGAAGTAGGATCTTCAAAGATTTCAGAGATTGCTGTGAGGGTACAATGAAGAGCTGATTTCTCACGTAATGGACTCTTTAGTTGTCGATTTTAACGCTGCTGTTCCAATCTCGATAAATTTTCTGCGTCAGTTTCGTGACGCCTAAGTAAAATTGTATTTATTAGATACACTTGAAGTTTTTCTTCCAATTCACCCTCTTGCGACTTTTGGCATGCTTAAAATTTGTGTGATCCATAAAGGCTGTTTTCTGTCAACTTTGTTAAGTTCTAATATATTTGTTAGCACAGTAGTTCGACGTCCGATGGCCCTAAAAAAGACCGGTGAGCTTCTTAAGTTAACTCTTTTTTGACTGCAGTTAACAGCAATTGTGACTGCCTGGAAACCTCAGGGTGATCTTTTCTGGCTTGCTGTTGAAGACCCAGACTGATTGGGAGAAAAAATAACAAAGTCCGAAGCTTTGGGGCTAGTTGTAGAGCTCTTTCCCATCGTCTCCCACTTTAACGTCAGAGACGTTGGTGTCTAAAGCACCTTTTTATTTGCAGATTCAGTTGTTTCAGTGATCTTAGATGGGGAGATTGGTTAGTAATACTTGTCCAGTGGAGGCTGTCCCGTTGGCTCAAGTTTTTTTTCTTTGATAGCTGTTATAGGATTGCCCAGTGCAGACCTTGTAGAGGATCAGTGATTTCTGGTTGAATGCTTAGAGTCGAGAGGTTAGTATAGGGTCGTATGTCACTGGGTTTTCCAGCTTCGCGAAGAACAACTCCACAGGAGACGTCTGCTAGTGAATGGCTGACT